GATGTTTGGCCACTTCTATCATAAGCCCTCTTTTACAGTATAAAATCTAGCTCAGTGTAAAGATTCTTGAAATATATACTACATGTGGCAAGATAGTTTGCAAACTGTCTCCTTTCACAGAGTCCAGCCTGGCTTCTCATCTTTGCTCTTTGCTACTTCATGCTGAAGCCAATCCTCTCAAAACCTGTCTCAAGGAAGCAATTCTGTGGAAGGTTGGGGAGGGGAAACTTTTGGCAATACAAAAATCACCTTTCCAACCTTGATTTTCTTAAGTGAAGGTCAATGATAAATGACTTCCCTCTTGGGGCATAATTTATGGCCACGTGTCCTTATCTATTGAACCCAACATTGACTGATAGGGTCATGACACTAGGAGGAGAGAGAGGTTGTCTCTGGGAGAGCTGGAGGCCAGGGAGTATAAATAAAATCAGATGTGGCTGGAGTGGGCAGAGATGATGGGGAGGAGAGAAAAACGGCTACACAGGCCAAGTAAAGACACATCCACCTTGGAAAATGCACTCAACATTTCCAAGGTTAAATCCAACTCGTGTTTCTGTGCTTCCTACAATTGCCTTTGTGCTTGCAGCACCCGGTTATTTAGTAAAGCAATATGGAAGGGGCAAGTTTTTCCTAGAATACTTAGTAGTGGTTCAAACATCCTTTGTGCTCTCATTTTCTTATTCCACCATCTTATGGTTCAAAACATTTCTTAAAACTCCTGGTCTAGCTTCTAAGGCTATGAATAATGTTGGGATCGGCTTAAACCTCGTTTCTGTTATTCTGGGACCTAGAATTCCTGGTCCAAGTAGTTGGTACTAGCAATATATATAGAGAAAGACTAAATAAATTCATCCAATTGGAAATTGGTCTAACAAAGCTAACACAAATGCTTAGGCATGTACCTTGAGGCAATAGTGAATCTTTGACTACACAGACCCTGGATGTGGACAAAACCAAGACTAGAGATGCTAATGTGTTGCATGAAAATGGATAGCGTGAGGACCAGCTGCACCCTGTGTAAGATGCCAAAAAGCTGGAAGTCTATTACTAAAGCTCTGCATCTCTAACAGAAGCACCATGTTCTGTGCTTTACAGAAATGAATTTAAGGCTAGACCATGTATCTACTGAGCCACTACTAAGTGAACCAGAAATTTGGGTTCCAGTTTTAATGCATCCATGACCTTTATGCATAAAGGTCAAAGTGTGGCTTAATTATAGAAATTAATAGTTGCATAATTTTGTCAGCACACCAGAACCACTACAGCTGCCAGGAAATCAAAAGAACAACCTCACCTGAGAGTGAACTAATATGCATCATTATATCACCCTTCATCATGTTTTTCTTGACCCTTCAAAAATCCATTACAGCCAGTAGGAGTAGCCAGGGCCCTATCAACTATTCCTTATTCCATTAGCAATCTCTTACTGAGGTGAGAAATAAATTGGGACCCCTTCCTACCACTGATGGTTAGCTTTCCTGTCTATACAGACCACAAATATCTCAGAGGCAAGAGGTCAGGAAATTGGTCTTCGATACTGGCAAAGCTTAAACCCTAAAGAATCAAGGGCTCCAAAAGCACATCCAAACAAAATAAAAAGAGAGAAAGAGATGAGAGCCATGTCTGCAGACTGCTTGTCAATCAGCATAAGCCAATTAGTCAAATGGTACACACACGAACAGAAGCAACAAAAAATCTGGTATAATCAACTGGTCTGTTTTAACTGATCCTTATTTAAACAAAGAGGGAGAAAACCACTATTGGGGATCTAGTTAGAGCAAGACTGAAACCAAGCGATGGCTTTGATTTCATGATTAAAACGTTCCATAACAAATAGCCTTGACCAAATTTTGTCCTTTCTTCCTGGGACCACATTTAGCCAAAGATAGGCATGGAATCTCATCCAAGCAAGTCCAAGCCATTGCAACACATGTGCCTTCAGCCTGCACAGAGGAAGATCATATTCCCAAGTAGTAAGAATACCCACCAGTAATCTAAGTGACTGACAGGTGTTAAGGTTAGAGCTGTCATCACTAGAATTGGAAAATGCACTGGGCTCCAAAATTTTGAGTTGGGCACCAACTTTGAGTATACTCAGCACCTATTTTGTAATTAGTAGGTTTGTCCATGCACCCCCAAATTTTGCTATTCAATGTCCTTGCTGTAACCACACAACAATGTCTGATTTGTGGATTACCCCATGCATACCAGTCTTACCAGTGAGGTAAGATTGGGAAATCCTGGGTCTAAATTAAATGAGTTTCCTTTCTGCAGGACTTCTCAGAACATTTAATGTGCCAAAGAGCACCACGAATCTCTAAGAAAGGCATATATTTGCAGCATGTCACCATATCACTTGCCCATAGAATCCTTTTCTGAAAAGCTTTTGGGGATGAGGAGATGGGGACAGTTCTTAGAATATACTTTGGGAATTATTGCTTTAAAAGTATGCCCTCAATGACTTCCAAGTAAGTAATGAATAGGTGTTGCTGGTGGTATATGCATTACTTTGGAAGCCCCCATCTCTTCTGATAGACCTAAGGGTAGTGTCTGGGGCATTGAAAGTAGAGGGTTTTTTGGAACATGTCAGAACATCTACCTGGGTCATGTGAGAATCTCTTAATGTTAGTTCATTCAATCAACAAATGTAGTGCATCCACAATGTATCAGGAGCTGAGCATTTAAAAACACAAAAAGGTTAAGGTTGCTTTACTTTGTATAGTGGAATAGTGGAGGCAGAGAAGTTTTCCCAGACAAAAGGACATTTGAACCAGGCCTTAAAAAATGACCCCCAGGGGTCAGCGTAGGCAGAGGGAGACATTTTAAAGAGAAAGAACAATATATAGAGATGCACTGATGCCTGATAAGGCATTGTTCTGCTCCCTTGAGCACTGTTCCCTGATGTTTCTGTACACACACCATATCATAGACTGGCATTTCATAATGTGTTCCTCAAAGAAATAAGGAGCTGATGCTTGAAGGAGCTGGAGATTGCTTGTCGCTCTGTGTGGCCTGCTGTAGGACGAAAATCCACCCATCACTGGACTGGAGCTTGCTTAGCTAGGAGGTGAAGGTGTTGCTTTATTAGGAGCAATCACAGAATGCCAAGGTATGGTATATCTCCACAAAATGTTGGAAATGATGGAGGTAGGGGGAAGAGAGCTAACATTTATTAATATTTATGCAAATTGTCTTTAAATTTACATATTTTATCTCATTTGATGATGAATTGTATGCTTACATATTGATGTCACGTGTTTTGATTTACAGAGTGCTTTCATATCCTTTATTTCCTTTGATCCTCATGAGAACCCTGTGAGCACGGATGGGGCAGGTGTGCTCAGCCTCTTTGTACAGAGAAGTGTGAGGCTCAGGATAGTTAAGTGATTAGCCCAAGGTCACATGGTAAGTGGCAATATCAAGACTAAAAACCAGGTCTTCTGAACCCTAGTCTTATGTCCTTGATTTGTATCTGCCCTGTATTACTTCAAGAGGCTGAAAATATAAGGAGAAAAACTTATGCCCAATATAAGGAAAATCTTTCTAAAACTCACAGCTGTTGAACAGTAGAATAGGCTGTCTTACAAAATGATTGTAGAGGCTATCTCTGCATTACATGGGAGATTAAATGTCATGGCGTCTAAGGTCAGTCTCCACTCTAACATCCAATGATTCTAAAATTCTTAGGTCCTACTTCTCCGAGATGAGGTTTCCAGTGACTAAGCCTGTTCCTGGGCAGCTCCTGTTTATTATATACTTGGTCCTCAGAAAAGAGATATTCCTAGACAGATGCCTGGGAGTTGTACCTTTCCCCAACATTACAGGTAACCCATTGCTTTGGTACAACAAACATAAATCACATACAACAATGCCTCCAGATGTCTCAGATCACCAAATGATGGGGACACAGATAGAAGCCGCAAATTTATCAAAATTGCCACATAAATGAGTGAATTTTGCCCGAAACTTAAACCCTTATAGCACACAGTATATATCAGAAATTATGGGAGGAGGCACAGTTCTGCATACGAACACTCATCAGTCATTCTGATGTGCAGTGAATCTGCTTTTTTAGAATCTATATAGTTGTTCAAACACCAAAAGTATTTTAAGGGATAGAAAGTATGGACTGGTAATAATCCACACTTGTCTTCTCTGATGAGGGACCAGGATTCTCTTGAGAACCAGTAGAACCAGCTACTGTTCCAATTCCCCTGGAAAATTTTTTGTCATATATTTACAGCTCCCTATGCTCAAGAGAATGGTGCATCTGTCTGATGGAGACGCCTGGCTGCATTCTTTCCCAGATATTAATATAGGTGGCACTTTAGCAGCATAACCAATGACATGAAGAACCTGATTTGGAGGGGAACAGATGGCAGCATCTTTCTTGGGCTAATTTTAGGATTCTGAAATAGTCCCTTTCTCACACAAACTATCAGTGAAACCAAATTAAGACAGCTATGTCACATGGAAAAGGAAGAGAGAAAAAAAATGTGGCCTAGTGTGAAGGAAAGACAAAAAATCAGAGACTTCAGTGGTTCCTTCATATCTGACTCCTTTCACAGAATGTTAGGGTCACTTCAATCTCTTTTCATCAGAATGAATGCTGAATATAAACATGAGGGTATCTAAGAAGAAATGAGTGGAGAAATTTTATTTCCAGTCACATGCATTGAATAAAGTTGCATCATGTAATAGCTAAATTCACATTCATAAGAATGTGTAGGACCTACATTCTAACACATCTTTTCTTAGCAGATAAGAAAGCTAAGTGACCACTTTACTTGGCCAGTCAGAAGCAGATTGAATTTCAAAGCCTCAGACTGCTGGTCCATTTCTTTGTCTGCTGAAAAGACCTTTCTTCCAAATGAGACATAAAATATCAATTAGGGATGATGAGAGATGGAGAGAGAGTCTCCCAATCAGAAATGATGCCGACGGTATAAGGATTTAAAACAAACGAGAAAAAGAATACTTTGAAGAAAAAAAGTACCTACCTGTTTTCCATCCAGAGTGTAGAGTTTTTTGACAACCCCGGTCTCTAGTTTGATGGCTTCAGTGATGTCAGTGAGGACTTGCTCAAAAGAGTGGGCTGTCTTCTTGTTCAGAAGCACACGCACAGCTTTCCGAGGCTTCACCCCACTGCGGATGATGGTTACCAGCTTGGGGCGCACAAAGTCCTTGTTTTCCCTGGCCTGGGCACTGTTGCTGCTAGCCAGGGACTGGGGGGCTTTCATATTGGCAGATGTCTTCACATTGACAGACCAGTTAGGATTGACATTCTTGGTGTATTCCACCTTTTTAAAGAAGTTGTCTGAGGAACAAACATAGCTTTCCCCTAAGGGAAAAAATGAGTGGTGATTAGTTTAATAGCAGATATAGGAACTATTCTAACCAAATTAATACACACTGACCTAGGAGTTGGACTTTCGGGGAAATGGTGATAATAACCAACCTTAGGTATAATTTCTCATTGGAATCTCTAACAACTTGGCTCATTCAAATTCAAGAACAAGAAATCAGGCAAACATTCTTCATTATAATGCATACCTAGCTGAAAAATCCTTTAAAGCTAAGGGTCCTAAGGACAATGAACATACTTAAGCATAATCTAACAAGTGAGGTTCTCAAGCTTGATAGGGTTTTATCGGCATTGAAATGTTTATGTTAATTTCTAGGATGTTTGTTAACATCTATGGGATTAATGGAGTGTTTTTAACATGACTCTATTTCTTAATGTTCCTGTCCTGTTCCTGGACCCACTGCCCCACTCCATTTTTATATTATGAACCCAGGAGAACTTTCAAAGTTAATACACTTTTATTTCAAGTTAAAGTGACCCAAGTAACCTTGTATATTGGGCATACAGTACATTCTTGCCAAGAAGCCAGACTGTCCTTTGCACAGAGAATATGGCTAAACAGTGTAATATTGAAATGTGAAATACGTGTGTGTGTGTGGTAAATGTATATATGTGTTTATAATTATGTCCTCTACAGCTCCCCCTCATACCAGGTGAAGAAAGTGTCTGAATTACAACCTGTACACACATACACACACACACAACACAACATTCCTTGTGTTTGCAAGTCTTAGCTCTTGCTTGAGAAATCCTCTCCTCTGTTTCCACCATCCACCCCTCATCTTTCCATCTTCCCAAATGCTGCACACTCATTCTGTGTATTCAGGGCCGTCTTCACCAGTGCTCACCCTTAGCTGCCGCCAAGTAATGAAGTGGAGATGTGAGAATACATTATACAGCCTGATTTATGGATTGGAGGGATCTGGTGTAATTTTCACATTTACCTTGGGCTAGAGGAAATGACTAATACAGCGGAAGAAACGCAGGGGCCAGAGGCAAAAAGAGGGGATTAGACATCTGGGACTAGAAACTGGAAAAAGAGGAAGAGAGGTAGGCTCAGCCTCGGGGAGAGAGTATTGGAAAAGCTTGAATTTGTTGAGTAAAACACATTAGCCTCAAGGTATACAGAAGTTCATCCAGAGGTTGAGCTGCAGAAAACCAGTGTGATTTAATCAGGCTTAACTCATCAGTAAGAACTATAAATAAATAAATAAATAAATAAATCAACCCTAGCCAGTGCAAAGAAAGTATTAAACACAATTACAGTCTGATGGCTCTTCTTCCTTTGGTCTCAGCAGGAGACCCATGCAGAGACATTCAGAAACACTGGGCTGATAATTCACTCCCTTTGCAAATATTGATTGCTTTGCTGTAGCACCAAATCCTTTAAGTCACGTTAATTAAGAAATTTCTCAGTGCCGAGAGAAGATTCAGTCAGAATCTCTAGGGCTCCTTTGAGGACATTTATGTGTGTGTGTGGAGGGGGAGGGTAAGTGGTTTCCAATGTATGCAAAATGGCTTCCAACACTGCTCTGAGTCCCAGAAGCTGCTAGTGTTCTGTCTTGACAGGGGGACCAAGGGATGGTTTGTAGGCAAGCTAAGCACCCTCCCTGACTTGGTGCACACACACACACCCAGGATGGGGCATCAAAAACCTCAGCCAAAAGAAACCATAATTTCTCTGGTCTCCTTGCTGGCTAATCCAACCCAACCCAAGTGTTTAGAGGCTGGGGTCTTTCATTTGCGACTTAAAAGGATGAAGGGGCCTTTTCAGTTCCCCCATATATTCACAGCCAATATCCCCCACATCCTAGAAATGGCCTCTTGCCTTAGCACTCCACCAGATTCATGGGCACCTTCCAAGATGTCACTGCCTTTGAGTCAGATGTTTTCCATAACTTGTCATGTACTTTAAAACTCTGTCAGACAACTGGTGGTGTGGAAATGTGTGAGGCTATATATTTATGATTTCACTCATCCACACTCTCCTCTGGAGAGTCAGCTGTGTAGCCCTATTAGGACTCTGGACTTTTTTTGCTTCCATCTCTTAAACCTCTTAAGCCTCTAAACTATGAGTATGATTAACCACCACCAGATGAAAATGAACATGATGGCAGACAGCTATAGTATCATATGGCACCCAAAAACTTTCCAGAGGACCCAGCCCTCAGTCCAATCTATGTTGAGCATCTTCCAACAGTACGTTTTAGTCTCTCCACTCTCTCTCCTTTTGGCCCTAATATGGAGTAATGGAAAAAGTGCAGCTGATGTGATGTCAGTCAGAACTGAGTCCCCAATATTTACTAGTTCTGTGTCCTTGGGCAAGTTACCCCCCTTGGCTTCAGTTACTTTTCTGCAAAGTATTGATAATAACATTACATACCTCATAAGGTTGTTGTGAGGCACACATCAGATGATGGATATGAAGTGCTGAGCCCAGAACCTAGTACATAGTTAGCACTTGATGAATTCCAGCTATCATTATTATTAAGGCCCTAATCTGAAGGAATAGAGAGAAAACAACAAGGAAAGAGCAAAGAAGGAAAGGAGGAAGAAGGGGTTGAGAGGAAGGAAATGAAAAAAGGAAGAGTAGAAGCTGAAGGAAAGAAAAGAGGAAGAAACAAGGGCAGCCATCTCGGAACAGAGCTATCATCATTACATAATATGAGCACTGCCCTAGTCCCATGCCTCAAAGGTGAGATTTCCTGCTGGTTGAGAGGCGGCTTCCTGTTGCTGCAAATGCCAAATGGGGAAGTTCTATGTCTGACACCCAGCAAAACCACTGCTGCCCTGCTGACGCACACCGAGGGCAGGATATATCTTTTAAGACTTTATTCTTTTTAGAGCAGTTTTAGGTTCACAGCAAAATTAAGGGAAAGGTACAGAGATTTCCCATCTACTTCCTACCACCACACATGTGTAGCCTCCCTCATTATCAGCCTCCCCCACCAGAGGGCAGGATATTTTTGGTGGTTAAGAGCAGTGACTGGGGGAGTCACACAGCTCTGAAGGCAAATCCCAACCAGGCATTTTACGAGCTGTGTGACCTTGGGAAAATCACTTAATCTTTGAGTCTCAGTTTTTCCATCTGTAAATTTAAGGTATTGCACTAATGACATCTGAGTTCTTTCCAGTCCTAAAGGTCTGCAAGAAAGAATTTTCTTCTCTTTTCCATTCCAAACAGGCTTTAACAAAGCTGTTATGCAATTAAATGTTAAAGAAATAGGTGCCCACCAGTGAGAACGCTCCACTTCTACTACTGGAAAGACATCAAATGTGCTGCTTCTCTAGACCAAGGCTTCCTTGTTCTGATTTTGCAAATATCTACGTCTGCTGCCAGAGCTCGGTGCTTCCTTCACATCCAGCTGCCTGGCACTTGGAGCTGGATGAGGTGTGTTGAATCTTAACACAGCTGGGTTCACATCTTGCCACAGCTTCCAGGGGCCATTTCCCACCCACTGGAAGCCTAGAAGGAAAGCTGGCTTCAAAGAGCCAAGAAAGCTGACAATTTGCTGGAACAGACAACCTGCTTCAGGGTGAAGAGGTAAGGAAATGAAGTCATGGAAGCACAGCTGAAAGGGCAGGAAGGGAACAAGCTGTGGGTTCAAGATGATCTAATGTCTATCTCCCTTCATTTTCAACAGGGCTCCATTTTTAAAAACATTAAACATATTTATATTTTCTTAGCTCAAAAGAACTTCTGCCTGGGCTTTCTCCTCTTTTCTGGGGCTTCCTCATTCAAGAAGGAAAATATTAAATGGTACTTTATTGTAGTATCATACCTATTAATGATGAATCCCACCCAGGTATCTTAAAATCTTCCTCTTTGGCAATATGCTTGCTTTAGTAGTCGGAGGATAAATTAGTGAGAAGGTAGTTTCATCTCATTGGAACAAATGAACCACAGCAAAGGAACTGGATCATAGCAAGTGTTGCCATATAGCTCAGATTTTCCAACAAGGCTGTCACAATTGTAAATATTCTGTCATATGGTCGGTATAATAATGCTCAAAATGAGTATCTTTAAGATTGATCTGGGTACTCACATACAAGGACGTGGGCAAAGATTTAGACAAGATATGATAGCAAGGAGAAAGTTTCCACAATGAAAGACTAAGCAAGACAAAAGGATAAGTCATTGGTAGATTTCATTCATTGACCCACTGGAATACGGCTAATAAGGGTCTCGTCCTATATGGCTTCACTAAGACCCTTGGTGTTCCCGAGGAGCTGTGGGAAAGCTGACATCAATAACCTGACTTTGGTCTCAAATTCTCCCCTTGCTACTTTCAGTATCTAGCAGCAGACAGTAGACTAGAGACATTAGACAAAGGAGTGCTACAAGGCCAGAGGGATTATTAAATGATTGCTTTTTATTTCATTTCATTTCAGGCTAAATATTTAATAATGTGGCCATTTGGAAACATAGTACGTTCTATGCTCCATTATTCCTTTAAGATCTACCAAGCAAAACATGAAAAGAAGGATTTCTACATTCCTAGGAATTTCCACCACCGTAGTTAGCCAAAGGGGACCATCAAGATAACCTAATGCAGTACTTCCCAAGTCTAAGTGCTCATAAGAATCACCTGCGGAGATTTATAAAATCATAGATTCTGGAGCCCTAGCCCTGGGGATTCTGATTCAATAGATCTGGGGTGTGGCCTAGGAATTTACATTTTTCTAAAGCTCTAAAAGATTCTGAAAGACAGCCAGGTTTGGGAACCACTGGCCATTCCAACCCCTCACTGGCATCATCATTATTACTATTATTATTATTTTCACATCATTAATAATTATAGTACCTTGTAGCTGTAGATTAACATTGCTGATGTGTTTTCATATCTATTATCTAATTTTATCCTCATAACCACCCTAATGGATAAAGACCAGTGCTACTAGTCTCATTTTACAGATAAAATATTATAATAGATACTCAAAATGTGGTATAGCTATACAATGGAATATTATTCCTCAGTAAAAAGAAAAGAAGTGCTGGGGCTGGCCCCGTGGCCGAGTGGTTAAGTTCACGCGCTCCGCTGCAGGCAGCCCAGTGTTTCGTTGGTTCGAATCCTGGGCGCGGACATGGCACTGCTCATCAGACCACGCTGATGCAGCGTCCCACATGCCACAACTAGAAGAACCCACAACGAAGAATACACAACTATGTACCAGGGGGCTTTGGGGAGAAAAAGGAAAAAATAAAATCTTTAAAAAAAAAAAAAAAAGAAAGAAAAGAAGTGCTGATACATGGTACAACATGGATAAACCTTAACAACATTTTTCTAAATGAAAGAAGCCAGTCACAAAAGAGCACATAGTGTATGATTCATTTTAGATAAAATGTCCATAATAGGCAAATCTGTAGAGACATAAAGTAGATTAGTTGTTGCCTAGGGTTGGAGAGAATGGGGGAAATGGGCAGTGGCAGCTAATTGGCATAGAGTTTCTTTTGGGGATGATGGAAATGGTCTAACATTAGATTATGGTCATGGTTGCACCACTTGGTAAATTTTCTAAAAATTATCAAATTGTACACTTAAATGGGTGAATTTTATAATATGCATACTATACCTTAATAAAGTTGTGTTTTAAAAAGAGAGAACATTAGTCACAGTGATGGTTAGGATAAACCTGTGGTTATATAGCTAACCAGCTATAAACTAGGACAACTCAAACCATAATAGCTACCCTTGATTGAGTGCTACTGTGTGCCAGGCAAAATATCAAACGCTTCACATCCATTGTATTATTTAGTCCTCAAAGCAATTGTTCCCACTTTACAGATGAAAAACTGAGGCTCAGGGAGTCTAAATTGTTTCCCCAAGGTCACATAAGCTAGCAGGTGCAGACCTTGGATTTGAACCAAATCTGGTTGCAAAGACTTCTTTTCCCATTATAATCTTCTGCCTCTAAGACTAGAACCCAATGCCCCGATTCTTCACCCAGGGATCTTTCCAAACTATTTTTATATTTGAAGTCTCATTGGAAGCAATGTGTATAAAATTTTAAATCTTTCATTCAATCTCTCCCAAAAATGAACAAAGTGAGGGACTTCCGTCCTCCATTCATAGATGAGTAGTTCCAGAGGATAAAATAGGAGAGAAAAAGACCCTTAATCTTTATCCTTCTCATCCTGGTGCCCTTTCCTGTCTGGCCCTGTGGTAGTGGGAAAATTGGTCACATTTCTCAATACTATCCCAGAGATACCCCAGAATTTTCTTAACTGAATGGGCAGTATTCATGAGTGGGAAGGCATTGAGGGCCACTGCAGCTTGTGGTTGTAGGTGACACATGAATAAATGCGACTGAGCCATATTCACACTCTACATGGTCTGGGAATTCACCAGGAACTACTACTATTGCACCCAAGAGTGGTAGGTGAGAGAAGTCCAATCTAGCAGGATTCAAAAGGATCAAGAGAAGAGAAAGCTGCAGTCTTCAAAATTACATTTATTACCTATATTGAACTGAGGTTATCACAACACACACACGCAATACACACACACACACACACACACACACAAATTCACGGGGGAAAATCAATATCAAGGGCTTGTCCTTGAGTAAGACATGTTAAGAAATAGATTTGGGGGGAAAAAAATCTGTGCATGACTCCTCTCTTATCAGACACAAGAACATTCTAATCCTTGCTCTGAATACAATGTCACTTGGTTTAGAATTCTGCTGTAGTGTCTATCATGGTCTTTAGAAGACCAAAGCTAGTGGAAATGAGGATATACTGGGTAATTCAGGGTGCTTTTGTTGTGAAAATTATTACACAGAAACCCTCAAATTTGACTGAGATGTGGATTTTACACTGACAAAAGACATACACCCTATCGATCACTCTGTTGGACAGCTCCCTCAACCCAGATTTAAGCCCTTCATGTTTCCCTGACTCTCCTTTATTTTAAGATATGTGCTAGGATGGTCAATCCTTCAATGTTCAGGAAAAGCCTAGGATTAACCTGTGTCTGGCCATCCAGAACATGATCAAATAATCTAAGCCTCTTTAGTAATGTTTTTCAAGGTCAACTATGTAGAAAAACCTTGGACTTGAACCCCAAGACCCAGATCTGGTAGTCGTATAGACAGTCTTTTATAAGTAACTGGCCCCAAATCACTTGACTTGACTTGGGGAAAAAGCGGCTACTTAAGAGAACGTGGTCTTACACAAGGGAAGCTCTCATGCTCCTTTGTCTAGGAACACAAGAAACCTAGAAGCAGTGAAGCGGAGGCGGGGCACTCCCACACCAAGTCATTTAATATGCTGTTTCTCCTTCCTTGTCGGCTGTTCCATAGCTCAGTTTCCCTAGAGATCTGCCTGCTCTAAACTCACCTTTGCCCTGGGAATGGAAGAAGTGAGGAGGGAGGGCTGGAGAGTCGGGGAGAGATTACGGAGCAAACAGTTTCATTATTACCACTCCTTGAGGCTGTCCTTTAAAGCATCGTGTCAGGTTAAACTGATCACATATGTTACACCAATTTAAAAGTTGGGGTAGGGAGGCACCCTCAATATAATTGATTTGATAAGGTAAAATATTAAGAATGTGTCCCAAGATCTATTTTCTAAATGACCACAAAAAAAAAAGACTTCGTGGCTGAGCAAGTTTTGGGAAGACCTGGGATTTTTCCCTATTTTCAGGTGGGTACACAGGTTGTCAGCATTTTCAGCAATCTAGTTATAAAATGCAATTGCAAAACCAAAATCTATAGAGGATCTAAAGGGATTTAGGTACAGTTAGTCAGTTACTATTCTAATAGGAATAGTCTTTATTAAAATACCAGACATATCTACAGCTTTCTTTGGTATTTCTCTCAATGACCTCAGCCTTAGGGACACACCCTGATGTGGGTTTTTTAGAAGCAACAGCTGAGCAGTGACCACTTACCTAAAAGTATAATCCTTTGTGAATATGTCCAGGGAGTCCTGCTTTTAGGGTGCATATTTCCATGAGTTGCAATTCACAAAGAGTCTCTCAGCAGTTCAAAGGATATTTGGGTGAAACATTTTCTCTCCCAACTTAACTTCCTTCCTCATTTTACACCCCTAATGATTTCATGCTCTCTCCATAGTTCTACTTAGAGTTAATTATGAACAAGATCTAGAGTAAATGACACAATTCAGATTTTCCTTTGTAAACCCTGGCAGATAAGCACAATGCATTATCACTACCATCTACACTTCACCCCAGCAGAGACTAAAGGCCATGAAGGGTAATGGCTAACGGCTCTGCTGATGCCTATAGAATCAGAGGTCTAAGCATTAACCTGGTGTTTTGACAAATATATTTTCTAATTTCTCCCCATGAAATCCAAGAAATATGACCCTAACCAATGCTGCCACCTCCTCCCAAGGGCCACCGCCCACTTTGAATTACCTTCCTCCAGTTCATCCATGCTTCCGATTTTCCTGGATCCATCAATGGTGTAAATGTAACGCACTCCCTGAGGCAGGTTGATGTTGTCAGACAGAGATCGAGTCAGGTCAGCCAGCAAGGCGTCAAAGCTGCGAAAACGGTCAGAGGACACAGCGTACACAATCCCCTTGAAGTAGCGGTCCCCATTGCGGTAGAAACGTACCTTCTTTGCTTTCTTCTCGTTGCTCAGTGCCTGCAAGGTTCTGGTTCGGTAGAAGCTACAGTGGGCGCTGTGAGTGGGGCTAGGCAGCCCATTCATCCGTGAGCCTCGCATGTTCCTGGATGTCTTATCTCTTTCGTCAAAATGTCCAAAATCAAGTTCCATATTTTGGTGGAACCTCAGAGACCTGAATGTTGGAGAAAGGGGTAGGGGGAAGAGGCAAAGAAAAAGGAGTGAGGAGGAAAAAAAGAAGAAAGGAATTCAAATATTAGCCAGATCCAGATCTGCAATCTGCAGCTTGTGAAAAGAACTCGTTGAAAAAAGCCCGTGACCCATCTGCTGCTTGCCCCTGACCTGCAGGAATATTGATCTTAATAGAGAAGAAGGAGGGGCTAGGGAGGTGCTGGCGGTTGTGGGGGTTGGGGGTGAGAGATAGGGAAGGAGGCACTTTTGGCACTGTTCCAAACAGAGGAGCGGGAGGGATTTTGAAATAGCTTAAAATCTTGAGACTTACTGACAGTGGCTCCTATCAAATTGTAACTTCGGGCTAAATACATTAAAACTGGCATCTGTTTCCTCGCACATGCCCACATGACTAACAGTTGTAAATGAATCCATAGCCTGACAAAATTCTCCTTGAAGAGAACAGAAGGAGCTAGCCAAGGTTAGCATCTCCAGCTTAGGAAGCAATCTTTGCCTCTCAGTAAAATGACTACAAGGGGAGTGTTTTAATTTTATTCCAAATCCTTTTTTCTACTCTAATGTGTGCATCCCCTCCCCCCAGAATAAACTAGGATTCTCCTTTAAAGGGACAGCCTCCAGGGAATAGCCAGTGTCTTTGTGCTATTCACCAAACCCTATCCCCACCAAGCTGGTGCAGCTAACCGACATTCATAAGAAATAAGCTGAAAAAAAGGATTAGAAAAATCCGTTATTTAACAAGTTGTTAGCTCTGCTTTCCTCCGGTACCATTTGGTCACAAAATCCTGTTCTTTTTTTTTTTTTCAGGTGCTCGATCCCTCCCCACTGATGCAGCCCCACCTCTTAATGGAATAATTTAATTGTTGAAAGATTCCCAAATGAGTCCCTGAACAGCATATGGGACCTTTAGAAGCAAGCACACCTTTCATTGTTCTGGATTTCTACCCTGACTGAAGGGGCATTTTGCCCTCACAGCAGGCAATTCACCCCAAACTTCTGTATTGCCCAGGTGCATTGGCTGAAGCAAAAGATGGTCATCTGTCAGATTTGCTTTCCCCCCTCCTGCTGAGCCAGAAAAGAAAAGAAAAAAAAAAACAAAAAAAGAAAATCAAAACATGAAACCAAATACAACAGAAGCTCCAAATGCTAGCAAAGGTAGTGACAGCCTAGGAACCAAACTATTAACATGCATCTCACAGATGGGGATAAAAGGACTCACAAAGCAAGCAGGGCTCAGCTGCTACACATTGCCACATTGAGATATTTGCAAGGGACCAGGAGGACAGGAAATAAAGGAGGACTGGTGCCTAGTAGGTTTGCCAGGCTCGGTCCCCCTTTTCTTCCAATGTCACCATGACCTGTGCTGAGCTCAGCATTGTCTCTGTCAGACAACCTGCAGTGGTAAGAGACCCCACCTCCTCAAGACAAGTAGCAAGCATTTCCCCAGGTATGCCAGTAAAGCTCGGCTTTGCTTTAGGATCAGGGGCAGTATTATTCTAAATCGACATCACGGTAAAAACAAAGGAACACCAAACTCACTTTTCCAAAGGAAAATCCCAGGTAGAGGCTTAGGAAAAAATCCGATAGAATAAGGCAAAGAGGGAAGAAAAAAGGAGAAGGAGAGAAAGAGAGCGAGCGAGCGTGTGCACTTTGCCTTGTGCTTTTCCCGTTTGACATCTGTTACATTCTGCCTGAAAATCACTTGAAAGCCCCACTCACCGGTTTTCTGCTGGTTGGGTGGAGATGCTGAGAGAAAGAAAACCAATCTCTCTATGCCTTTGTTGTCTGAGCTCCAAGCAAGAAATTCCTGCCAGGGTGGATAGATGCCTTCCAGGTCCTAGTGCCTTGTCCAGCTTCTCCCCTATAACTCAGGCTTAGTGAATCCCCCCAACCTCCTATGATTAATTACATGCTTTTTTTTCAATTCACAGGCTGCATTAACAGCTAGAAAGGTTTCATTTGTAACCAACAGGAAATTGCAGGGTAGCAAAAAGATTGCACAGGCAAGTTCAGAATGCTCTACTGAGCAATGTGCTAGCCTTTTCTTTTAGGGAATTGGCAATTTCACTTGGCCAAAACCTTGATCTAATCTGCCTGGGTGCCAGATTCAGACAGTCAAACCAGGTTTCTTAGAAATTGTAGCTCTCTTCCTTTCACCTTCTTGAGAGAAAACAATCGAATCTGCAAATTCTTTAATGCATTTTAGTTCATGCATCCAACAACTGGTTGCTTTTGAAATGAAGTCAATGGAGTAAGAGGGAGTAGGAAATGGACAAGACAAGGGAAAAGAGTTCCAGAATTTCATGGAGGATGGAGCTGCAAAAGAACCCTAAGACCTTTTAGCCTGGTGTAATAATTTGGTTAATGGGGTCTGCGGCATTCACCTTTGAGAGTTTGAGAGTTCAAATCCAACCCAGAGACCTTTCTATGTGAAGTAAGTCTGATGGCTACAAGATAAATATTAATGGCTCTCTCCTCAAACTACCTATTTGTTACTAATCGGCTTCTTTATATCAAATATGTTATAAAGGGCAAGGAAGCATCAAAATTGAATTCATTAAAGCAAACCAAACTATAAGACAAAAGAAGAGAAAGGTGAGAGACTAAAGTGAGGGTAGGCTACCATCCTCACAACTGAGGCTACATGCATCAAAATGTAGCAATCTTGAACTATCATGGTTCTATTTATTGCTTGGCTTCTATGAAGCTCAGAGCTAATAGCATGCTCAGTAATTACCTTATATCTGCTTCCTGGTACAATTAACCCTCTTTTTTATACATAGCTGTTGATTTATAGTCAAATACCTTCTGTGTATGTGTTTTACTGTAAGCTGTCTCAAAGTGGGATATAAAAAATATGATTTTCCTTGTCTGGAAGGTGTTGGTTCAGCAAAGCCTAAGCTATCTATGGTACTTAGGTGGTCAGCCTCAAGTGTGAAACCTGCTCAGTTAAGTCTCCCCAACACCTTGTTGCTGCTCTTCTGCTTCCTAAATGAGTAGCTCAGGAAATGGCATGTGTCTGCCCTGTTTTCTTCCATTCATTTCTGCCTCACATTGTGGCCACCTCTTGAAAAATCAAGGTTATTTAGATCAGGGGCAGAGAAATATCAAGGAATAGGAGCAGGGAAATATCATGGAAATTCCAACCAATGGTTGAAGCTTCCTTGTCCAGGAAGGCCAATGTCTTAAAATCTTTTTCTTGTACATAATGAGCATTCTATAAATATATAGCAATGGATTTTGCCGAAGAACTTAAAATCATTTTATTTCTGGTGAGGATATAGGAACGGATAGGATTTTAAAACTTAAACATGAAAGGTTTGGAATAGATTTTAGAGGGAATTTCCTCATGGTATAGGCTTTGTAATACTACTGCGGAAGCTGCAAAATGTCTTTACGAGACAGTCTAAGATAGATGACTCTGTTTGCATTATATACACCAGAGAGCAGAGAGGTGAACAAGATCAATGTTTCCCAGTGTGAAGTTTGTGCATGTTCATAGGTGTTCGTTAAAAACAGAAAAACAAGGTTCTGGGGTCAAAAATATTTGAAAAGTAATGGGCTAAACAAAATTAGCTTTCTTTATCATAAAACTTTTCCGGGCCTTTAATATACTTAAAATATGGCATGAGTCTCCAAGAAGATAATTAGTATAAAGCTCGTCACACTTTCTTTTTAAGCTCAGGACATTCCTTTCCCCAGAGCATCTCATAGACTAATGTTCTATGGAAAAAACTTTCACAAAAACTGGACTAGATCACCTCACAAACATATTTCTTTTCGAACAACTCTCAGTTACTCACCAAAACTTTTTCTCTCACTTCCTCAGCAGACAAGGATCACTGGCAGAAGAGAAGATCTCAGGCACAAGTCCAGGGGGAAAGTACATCTTTATTTATGCAAGTCAACTTTGAAGATCAAGGGAGAGTGAATGTTGAGGGCTCAATGAAGTGAAGAGATTGAAGGAAAAGTACAGCAACTCCATTGTGGAAAATGTAGCAGTAAGACCTTTTGAGTAACTACCATGTGCCCAGTGCCACAGGCAAGAGGCAGAGTAGGAGACATTGGTCACTGTCCCTGAGGGACTTGAAGACTCATTGAGGAGACAGGACAAGAATACGCATCTTGCAAAATTCGTGAAGGGGAAGGGCTTAAATCTTTTTTATATGCTGTGGTCTGATTTAACCAAACTCAGCTTAAAGATCAGGGGTTAGGAAACAAGGCTATCCATCATACACATACTAACACATAAAATCATTAGTTTACCTATCAAAAACACAGAGACTAGGATCAGGGGTGGGGTAGGGTAAGCAAACAGGAAGTGAGATTGGAAATATATACAAACTGTTTACGGGTACCGCAAAAATATAAACTTCATAGGAATAAATCCAACAAATATGTATAAGACCCTTATTGAGAAAATCATAAAACTATTGAAGAACATAACAGAAGCTGTGAATACATGTAGAGCCAGACCATGTTCATGGATGGCAAGATGCAATATCGTAAGGGTATCAATCCTCCCCAAAGGAATCTATATATATGAAGAAATTTCAATGAAAACCCCAACAAGAATTTTTGCAAAATTCACAAATATCGATTGTTGCAAGATATCTGTTATTGTGAGGATTAAATGAATAAATTAGTGCTTAGAACAAACTCTGGCACACAGTACATATGCTATAAGTATTAGCTTTTATTATCCGCCAAACATTCACATGCCAACTCCCTCACTTCTTTCAAGTCTTTGCCCAAATAGCAACATCTCAACAAGAACAACCCAGACAACTCTAAAGTTACAGCCTTCCCTCCCAAACCAGCATTCCAAATTTCCTTTATCCTGCTCTATTTTTTCTATAACACTTATTATCTTCCAACATACTACATAATATACTTCTTTATTATGTTTACTATATATCTCTCCAAAGTAGAATATAAGCTCCACAAAAGCAGGAATATTCTAATAGCTTTAATGAAATATAATTC